CATTTAATATTAATACAAAATATATTAAATATATACAAATTTTTAATTTAAATATATACAAATTTGAGTATATAACTGAAGTTATATTTTAAATAATTTAAATATATTTTTAAAAATTTACATAAATGGAAAGGACAGTATTAATATTACGAAAAAAAGGTCCCATTGACTTAAAACAATTTTAATAGCAGCACGACAGTATTAATATACGAAAAAATTTTTATGGGCCCATAAAAAGCATTCTACGTATCACTAACAAATATGAGTCTATGTCACGTGGCTGCTAATCTATCACGTGATCGATTGCTCATACACATTTGGACGGAAGTCTCGTGATCTAAATTACAGAGACCAATGGAAATCCTCAATTGCTTCAGGCAGACGCTTGACGTCATATCCGATATTTCAAAAAGTAGCGCGTCTTATAATGACAATTAAAGTACAAGACGATATGAAGATTATATAGATTTATGTTGCTTTATTGCTATCGTTCACTTAAATAACGCTGTAACACTTGCCACAATATATAACATATTGTCAATTATTATGTTCTTGGCGATCACCTATCAACTCTCGAAACATCCCATCACATGATCAACAATATTATAAGACGATCAAAGATCTGGGAATACATACACACGCACACACACATGTGCGTATACAAATGTGTATGTAAATGTAAATGTTAAGAGTACTTACTTCAGCTATTACAAAGGGATCACGTGACACGTCTTCCGCATATACAATCTTACAAAGTACGTTATTAGAAAGGAACTGAAAATCATCGAAACTGCGAAACCCATGATAATTTCCTTAGTAGTAAAAAAAGAAATCCATCATTTACAATATAGGTAATATCGCATCTAAAAACGGGGTTTAAATCGAAGCTTTATTGATCACATTAACAATATTTTGCTCTATTCAATCGACATTGAGGACAGGTGACAATAGCGAATACGTTATCCAATATCCCGGATGTAATTCGATGAGATTAAAGATATACCTCTTTTTGTTACTGTACGTAATCATGTACCGATAGATAAACGCGTTGTTTTGCTCGCGTTCCCTCGTCAATCGATGATGCGATAACTCTCGAGTTATAAAAGTGTTATTGTACTGAGAGAAGGGAAAGGATACATCGGGCACACGGTGATGAGATCACACGTCTCCGAAATGCACGTTAGATAATACTTTGGTAATATACTGGCGACGAGTAATCGAGACAGCGTGTTTAGCGGCTTACGAAGCGACGTCCGCAGCTAATATAATCGATCACGGGAGAATCGCCGCACTGAAATTCCGTATCCATCACGAGGTGATGTCAACGGAACATTCGAAGGCGAGTTATGTGTGCACTTACTGTAACCTGCGAGCCTGATTTCCTCCCTTTAGCGTTTAATTTATCTATGAATCTAGTCGTGTCTCTATTGTGCATCGCAAAAATTGCGTTCACAAGTTTACTGTGCTCCCTATCGAAAGAAAATCCTCTTATGCGAAATCGTTTTGTCAATTTCTGCACGTTGAAATTAATTTGACATTATAATCTTGTCACACGGTATACTTTTTGTTTCCATCTAATTATATTCTCACTAAATAATTTTATGTAATTATCAGGAAGCAAATTAAGAATATCATACCGTAAGACAAGAATCTTACTCAAGTGAGATTTTATCATAGAAAAGGTATCTCCGCACGCTTTATTTCACCGTATCCGCTCCTATAATCAAAATTTTGAGCTTTTTTCTGTTGCAATTCTAAATTATATAGTTTACTTTAAAAATTTTTGTAAATCCATTAATCTCCTATGTATTTCTGTATGATACCTCATTTGAATGGTGGACTGAATGTTTTTTCCTTCTTGTTTGTTTTCTTATTCATTGAGTTAAAGCAGCAGAGTAGTAATACCACCGTATATTGCCCCGGTTTGTTTATTTCTCGATCAGATGAAAATATGACGTTTCTCGGTTTGCAACGTGCAACTATCAGGCAATATATTACCAGATTAATCACACCGAATTAACAACAAGCGAATATGGTGTTTAGCATCTCATGTAAGGATAGTCGTATTCTCGTAAGGGCGCGAAGGTCTCTTTAATACACTGCGGGGACATCCAGCGAAGAGGATAGTGAGGACCGCCGGCTTTGTCATTTGTACCGGACATTCGACTGCCACCGAATGGCTGTTGACCGACTACTGAACCGGTCGATTTATCGTTGATATAAAAATTACCGGCAGTATATTTAAAATCTTCAAGTGCCTGCTTCGCCCATTTTCTGTAAAAATATACATATAAGACAAATATACGTATGAGACTACAATTCACTTTATTACAATGCATTATATCGTTGAACCAGCATAAAAGTTTTGAGAATTGATCAGAGTTCAATATAAAAAAAATATTACATCACTATACTACAATCTTATTCTGGCTTATAATATACAGATACAACTTTAGAGAATCTAACGTGCGATTTAAAATAGAAGCTATAATTGTATATTTTTGCTTCAATTCTTTTACACTCACAACGTAACTTGTACAATTGATTAATTTTACTTACTCATCTTGTGTAAATATCGCTCCAGTTAAGGCGTAAGGTGTTGATGTTTCCACTAACTTTACCGTCTGATCCAGCTCACAATCTTTGTAAACATATATTGTTAACACCGGGCCGAATATTTCTTCTGTCATTAGTTTTTCTTTCGGATCTTTGGATTGTACTATTGTCGGTTCGATAAAATATCCGCACCTGAAAAGACACATCTTATCTCAATATGATGTATACATTAAGATAATTATTATGTTAATAATAATTGTAACAAAACATACGAATCATCATAGCCTCCACCGCCAAGAATTTCCAAATTGGGCGATTTCTTCGCGTACTCGATGTAATCGGAAATTCGTTTGAACGCAACGGCATCTATAACAGCGCCGGTGAATATAGTGAAGTCTCGAATATCACCGATTGTGAGTTTTTGACGAAGAGCTAAGAGGTTGTCTTTTATCTGGAACAAAAGTTCAAAATTACATGGATGTGCATTTCCAAAGAATTTAATAAAGCGACTTACTAGACTCACCTCGCACCATAGAGATTCTGGTACATACATTCTACTGCAAGCGGAACACTTCTGTCCATTGAACTCGAATGCACTTCTTATCGTCGCGTAAACAACCGATTCCACATCAGCACTTGAATGGACAAAGTGATAATTCTTGCCACCGCACTCACCAACTAATTTCGGGTAGTTCCTGTATTTGGAAAGATTCTGACCAATCTGGATCCATAGACGATTAAACGTCGGCACCGAGCCAGTGAAGTTGAGTCCGGAGAGATGAGGCGAGGACGTGATGGTATCGCCGAACACAGGTCCTTCGCAAGGAACAAAATTCACCACGCCGGGTGGCACCCCGGCCTCTCTGCATATCTTAAAGATCCACCAGTTGGATAATAACGCAGTGTCGGATGGCTTCCAGAGTACGGCGTTACCCTGCAATCGCGGCATGCACGTCGACACGTGCGTATTATTATTAGCGCGTTGCTTTGATCGTGACGCTAGCCTCGATTAAAGCGCTGTCAGTATGGTTTGCAAATTACAAACCATCAGTGCCGGCGTATAGCTGAGATTACCGCCAATTGCGGTGAAGTTGAAGGGCGACACAGCCGCTACGAAACCATCCATACCGCGATACCTCATCGAGTTGAGGGTCTGAGCCGGTGAGATTGGCTGGTACTTGAGACTCTCCTTCACGAAATACGCATGCATTTTGAAAAAGTCAATCAGCTCCGCCGCGCTGTCGATCTCTGCTTGGATCACGGTTTTACTCTGACCAAGCATGGTGGCAGCGTTAAGATGTTGCCTGTACTTGGTTGCCATCAAATCTGCTATCCTCAACCACATCTCTAACCGCTTCTCGATTGGACATTTCTCCCATTCTCGCTGCGCCTTCACCGCGACGTCAATCGCTTTCTTCACAAGCTGCGGCGTTGCCCAGTAATACTTGGCGACTTTTTCCTTGTGATTATGTGGCTGGAAAATTCATGATTATCTATGATCTATGTAACAAAGGACAGTCTATAAATCACGCAAAGAGTTCTGCTCTTCATGAGTACTCAGATAACATCGCATGCATGTTACATAAGGTATTTAAAAGATATCTTTTAAATATATATTATGCAACATAAATGTTATCTAGGTAAGCGCGATTAAGATAAAACATACCATGACTTGATATCTGCATAGATTGGTCTTGATCTCCTCATCTCCGATAACTAATGGCACCTCCTCGCATTCGCTGCTCATCTTATCCAAGACTTTCTCCAGCTCCACTCTTTCTGGACTGCCCTTCTTGTAGCTAAGAACCGGCTCATTCTCCAGTGGAAAGTCCGGCGAGTTCGACACCGGAACTATCGATCCCAAACATCTGGTGCCGACTCTATCGAATAATAAACAATGCGTCAAGAAAAGGCCCACACTTGAATAGATAGTGCCGACAGATAAAATCTGAAGAGTCCCCTTAAGAATCTTGTCGATATGATCTTCAAATATTTATTCGTCTGCTTGTGGTAAAGTCTTGAGTTAATAGTCTTATCACTCTTGTTAAATATGCACTGGCATTTGCACTGGAAACGAGCCTCTTATTTACATATCAATGTCCCATAAGCAACACTATGATCGGTAGCAAAAATTGCGTTTTTTTAGAATGGTCATGTATCTTTTTTAATGCATCGTATCGTGCGCTATCAACTAGTAAATAATAATTATTAATTATATATGGATTGATAAATATTATTAAATTATAGCATAATATAACATAATAAAAGAATATCTATACACATTCGCGTGAATATATGGAAAAAGAATGCTTATGATAATTTATGTTTATTTAACCCTAATTAGCGCGGTGTTATCGGTTTCATGTGATAATTATGACAAATTATTTTTACTGTAACTTACGTATTACATCAAAATGTCGCTTTTACAATATTTCATTCCACATTCAAATAGTCGAAAATCTAATATTTTTTTTAGATTGTAAATTATTTTGATTGTTAATTATTTTCAAAGATCATAAACATTATATCAATACATAAAAAATGAAAAATTTGCAATGAATATTAACATCTGAAAAAGGTATTACTCGCAATCAAAGATATTTATGTGCTTTTTTGCTCCGCAATAAGGATACTAAGTATACATCTAATTCTATCTTCTTTGAAGCGAAGTGGACTTCGAAGGATGTCGAAGAAGAAAAATGGTCATTATATCTTCAAATAATTGAGGATTTAATCGCAAGAATTGTAAATCAGTGCGAGGGGATAAACGCCAAAAGAAATCTTGAAAAGTGTATTCTTATCCCTTCTCTTTAAATGGAAAGGCCAGAAGCTGAAAAGAAAATACAACAAAATAATAGTACCTACAAAATAAAAATGAAGAAAAAGATAACAATAAAAAAATAAAAATTAGAATAATAAACAAATTATAAATAAAAGAAAATTTAGAATTCCGAGTTCAAATCTCAGTCGAGACTCCGTTAATTGTCCTTTATAGAAGAAAAGGAGAACAAAGAGACGGCTCTCTCTAGATAGTACACTAAAAATAAAAAATTTGTTCAACTAACTAAACACATTTAATTGTTTGCAGATTTGGTAACATTGAACAATTTGTTAGACAGACTATGATTAAATTCGATTAAATAATATTTGTTGAATTAATCAAATCTGCAAACAACTAAATGTGTTTAGTTAGTTGAACAAATGTTTTTTTATGTACCAATCAATGCTATCGCGAGCGTCATAATGATGGTCGCGTGACCATTAAAGCCACTGGCGCATCTGATTCGCGAAACAATTGATGACATGAGTTACACCAAAAAGTATTTAAATATCCTCAAGACATATGTGTAGATAAAGAGATAAAATAGCCGCTATAGTCAATACCGAGCGACCATAGTGTCAATTATCGGAGCATCTCTTACGTTTGAAGGATCCAAATGATCTGTTTTTATCGAAAAAAACGTCTCTAAAAACATATAAAATACTAAAAAAAAAAAAAAAAAGAAGTCTGTAAAGCGCCAGATTTAGAGTACCGATTTTGTTATAATTTTCTCTTATATCCATTTCTCCAATGGATTAATTTTAATCTCAATGTAATTTATGTTTAAGAACTTTTAGTTCTAAGAATTCTAAGGAATGTCCATTCCTATTAATGTAGATTAACTTTAATCTTGATTTAATTTTCTTTTTCTAATTATAAAAATTATAAGAATTATAAAGGATAAAAGATAAATTAAATCAAAATTAAAGTTAATCTTGATTTATTTGAAAGAAATGTATATTAGAAAAAAAATTAACTTAGAATTAAAGTTGATCTACATTGATAGAAATAGGTCTTACTCGAATTGTAAGAAGTGCAAAAATTTAGGCCCATAAGACGGAATATTATAGAAGTAGTGTAACAGTCGTAAACTTAATGTTAAACGCGAAACTAGATAAAAAGATATAGAAAAAGTGTTTATTAATTAATATTCTAAGGTCCTTTAAGAATACAAAAAAAATCAAGTAAAAAGGAAATGAAAAGAAAATACAACAAAATAATAGTACCTACAAAATAAAAATGAAGAAAAAGATAACAATAAAAAAATAAAAATTAGAATGATAATAAACAAATTATAAATAAAAGAAAATTTAGAATTCCGAGTTCAAATCTCAGTTGAGACTCCGTTAATTGTCCTTTATAGAAGAAAAGGAGAACAAAGAGACGGCTCTCTCTAGATAGTACACTAAAAATAAAAAATTTGTTCAACTAACTCAACACATTTAATTGTTTGCAGATTTGGTAACATTGAACAATTTGTTAGACAGACTATGATTAAATTCGATTAAATAATATTTGTTGAATTAATCAAATCTGCAAACAACTAAATGTGTTTAGTTGAACAAATGTTTTTTTCAGTGTAGCAACCTTACGAAGTCAATCAAGAACGTACGATATGATTGACGAAAAGAATGAACAAAAAAGACCAACCTTATCACTTTTTTTCTTCTAAGAAGAATCATTTTTATAGACATAAGTTTTTCAGTTGGCGACACAAGTCGATATAGGTATTGTTCTATTTTTTATTACTCATGGAATTTCAAGAAAGATAGAAACGTATTCCAAGAAAGGTAATTGTTTGTGTTAACTTACATCTCTAGATGACAAAATCTGAGAGTAGAACATTTTACAGATTTTATCAACAATATTCTAGTGAAAAATATAATAGAATCTGTTGAAAAACTAGGTGAAATGTATCGTTTAAATAATGGATTACGAAATGACAAATCATGCCGGTTTTTGCTGGCAATTCTTTGAACATAGTTGACGTCAAACTGCCGTGATCGGCAGTGACATTTCGAAATCTTTTGGCAAATTATTAGCCTATCGCCAACATTTCGCTTAGCCCGTTTCTATTAATATAGATTAACTTCAATCTTATTCAACTAATTCTTCATCTTTTTCTAGAATTCTTAGAATTCCAATTCTTAAAAAGACAAAGAAATAAATTGAACTGAGAAAATTAATCTTATAATAATAATGGAATCAGATCTAAAATAGAAAAACAAAAATCAGTAAGCGATTCTTATATTCAAAAGATTTCATCTGTCAATGCAGATGAATCTTTAAATATACCTACATTGATCTACCAATTTAATTTACTCTTCATCTGTTTTTCTTAGAACTAGAAAAAAATAAAAAATAAGTTAAATCGAAATTAAAGTTAATCTATATTGACAAAACGATCAAAAACGTGGCTTCAACTAAACTCGTGATTGCATGATTCAACTGGCTTTAATCCAATCGGCAAAAGCTCCGTAGCGGAAACTTTGAACGAATTTATTATCCTTATCTCTCAGATTTTTCCATATTCAAACAACACAAGGAACCACACAACAATTCTATTGATGAGGCATATATTTTATCACAAGTATTGTCACTCTAAAATTATGTTGCACCGTAATTTTACCAAACGAGCGACGTAAACAAATTCCAGCATATTTTTATGCCTCGCGAAATCATTGCATCATGCATACACATTGACATCTGTAGACATTGTCAGGTCTAATTCGACGAGACTATTGACAACTATACCTACGTCGCTCACAAATGATCGATGAACTTCCTTTCAAAAGGAAGCGGCCGTGTAGGGCTGAGCGAAAGATCGCGAGTTGGGTTATATTCCAGAGGGACGCGTGTTTTGCAATTCGCGATACGATCGACATCGTCACCCGGATGGTGAACGGAAAACGGAGAAGGACGATATTGTGCGAAGCCTACTCACTTTTGGGTATTCGCCAACAATGTCTGACGGCAAATCAAGCCCAACATCTTCCGGCGGAGACGGGGGGGACAGATATATTACACGGAAAGAGACAGACAGGGAGGGAGAGAGAAAGAGAAAGGGATGACGTCGGTGTGCGCCCTTCGTCACACACGACGACGTCGAAGGGTGAACAAGGTGCTCTTCTCGATTGTCGATGACAGGTCTCGTCGGATGTTCGGATCACCTTTTTCTTTACGCACTCAGTGCGCCGAATTGCCGAAACTGCGACAGAACACACGACCTGTCGATGCGAACACCGTGCCGTCAGACACCGCGCTACGTCGGAATCGGGTGACGAGTTCCCCACCTCTCACGAGAATACCCAGGGCCGTAATCAGCCGAAATGGTAGAAGGGTGAAGAGAAAGGATGACGAGTCACCGACAGCGACGTCCAAGTTCTAAATTAAATTTTCACGACGAATTAGAACCTTATATCTTTTTAACACGCGAGAAACCAAGCGAGAAACTCTGACTCATTGTTCATTAATAAATATTAATCCTCGGTTATCTACTGTTACCCTAATGTTAATCTGCTATATATTTGATCATCGATTTATCACTGACGAGACCTGTGGAAATTATTGCACAATTTCTTTTTTATGTTTAAATATTCAAAAATAAAAAAATAAATCGTAAATCCTTTAGATCTCCAAAAATTTTTTATTTAATTTTTATTGTTAATTATTTTTGCTCTTTTTGCATGTCCTTCATTCGTATCTCTCATATTAAGTGTGGGAAAAAGTTCGTGGCGTTTTTCCCGTTAGACGGCATTAAAAAACGCCACGAACTTTTTCCCACATCTAATATTTGCTAATTATACACACATCGTTCCTAATAGCACAATTATTTGACTTGACGCAAATATTAGCTCGATGTATCACTAATGTTCAACTTATACTATCAATAAATTGCTCCTGAGAAAAACATACTAAATTTTAATCAAAATTTATATTTGAATAGTACTAAATAAATATTTACTTAAAGTAAATAAATATTACTCCATACAAAAAGTTATAGTTAAATCAGATTAATTGTTTTTGTATCAAATAAATATATCTTTATATTTAATAAATATTTAGTTAATACAAAGTTAAACAAATGATTTATTAAAATTTAGTACATTTTTTATATAATTTTTTTTTCTTTAAATTATAAAATAAAACCCATTTCTCGATATCATGTTTCCAAAAGAACAAAATTTTTTAGTTTAGTGCATGACTGAAATATTCTCATGATAAATTGACTTGTTTCTGTATTTTCAGTTACAAAAGAAGAAACGAAAAAGAAAGAAAGAAAGAAATAATAAGTAAACTAACAATATTGTCAAGCTTTGTTCTTCATTCACGTTATTCTTGGAGCTCGTTTCTTCGCGCGTACTGCATGAACTACTTCTCATCCATTAGATTGATTCTAATCAAAATCAATGACAGTCGATCAGACCGTATAATACAAGCATTCTTTCAATGTAACGCGTTTATATCGTACAGGATGAGCGAAATAAGGGAAGACCAGATGAAAATTTAATCCCGAGGAAACTGAAAGCCAATATCTTATCTTGGATAGTAATTCAATTTGCGAAATGAATACATATACATCTTTTTCGATGCAAATTATCTAATTATTCTTTTTTTTTTCTTGTACTTTTAGGAGGCTTCCATCATTGAGCTCGTTGAGAGTCAGACTGCCTAATATTGAATTGTTAATAATACCTACCGACTCGCATGTACATCGTTGCAAACAATCGTATTTAAATGCCAAATGTGTCGATGTGCATACGGACAATTGATTACAACGTAGATAAGAGATCTTTGTACCAGTCTGACATACATTCAAGAATTCAAGACTTTTCAATTGCATGTAAAACTTCAATGTCAAAATTAAAGAAACATTAAGAAGATTAAACTTCACGCAGAATTCTAACTTCCTAATTTTTTTCGAGAGTAAACAATCAGAGAAAGCGTGCGACAAAATAAAAATGAAATAGAAAAAAAGAATAGTAAATATTATATAATTATCGTACTAAAATATAATACAGTCAATTATTTTAGGTGCGCATTACTAATGCACACATTTCAAATGCAAATTACTAGTTTTTCTGTTATCAGAATGTCTATACCACAAGCGATTTCAATCTTAATGATTGCAGCGATTTTTCTTGATTGATCTGACTGTAGCGCAAATAAAAATAAATACTAGAAAATATTTGATTTACATTAAAAGCAATCGATAACGCCGACAAGAGAATCAAACGCTATTGTATTCCAATAATGCTTGTCACGGAGATTTCGAGTTGCATATACTCCGCATTCGTCACGCATCGTTACTTCTAATCATAAAGAATAGTGCGAATAAGTCGTTGAAAAGAACAAGAAAAAAAAGACGAGTCATCTTTAAAAAAAGTTCATCTACACAGTGGAAGGCTAGAATGCATTATGTAAGATGATTCATTTTTAAACAAAATGTCGTCGTTGTTTACTGTATGTGAATATTTGCACGCGCATATAGATGCATATTTTAAAATTACAATCTTTTTTTGAAACCGAGCGTATTTAACTCATTATTTGTTTCTTTTATCTTACATCTTCAGTTCTTGAAATAATAAAGATGTCCAAATAACAAGAACTCACATCTTCTGAAATTGTTATCATCAAAGAGAGAATAAATAATTATTTCAGATTTTTGAAAACCCATTTTGTGAAATGCACTTTGTGAAGTCGTCAATTCTCCTCTTGTTGCATTTGGAGCTCGCGTAGAAGTTGCGCTCTTTGCTTTTCCAATTCGTCCTCGGAGAGTTCGTGGTGTTCGTTATTTTCTGTAACGGAACCTTCACTGTGAATAGAAGGCCTTCTGTGCTTCTCCTCCTTCCGTTTCCTTTCCGGAGATTCTTCAGAGGATGGAAGACCGGAGTGCGAGCGCTGTGAAAAAAAATCAGGAGAAACGTGATAAAATTTGGAAACTTTCTTTGAAGAATCTTAATATTATTAATACGTACGGAATGGCTGCGGCCTCTCTTCTTCTTATTCTTCTTCCTCTTGGACTTCCTCGTTTCTGATTCAGAACTGTCAGACTTGCTAGGAATACTGGGTGAATGTGACTTGTGTCGCTTTCTTCTCAAGCCTTTTTCACTACCTTCTGACTCCTGCCAAGAAAAAAAAACAATTTTGCACTTTTTCAGAAATGATGAGGAAATGACTATTTTCTATAACACTCACACTGTGCGAACGCGATCGTGATTTGCGCTTCAATTTTTTCGCCTTTTTCTTCTTACTTCTGATATGATGATGACTGCAACTTTCTTCAAGTTCGTGCTGATATTCCTTGAATATCCGTATTCTTTCGCTCTCCAAGGTAATCGCCTTGAAATCTTGTTCTTCTTCGATTTTCGATCTCACGTCCTCCCATGCCATTTGATAGTCTACATTCAAAGTCTTCAGCAAATTCTTGAAACCAGTCTCCAGCTTCTTGAATTTTCGCGTTTCTTCCTTGACACGTTCTTTCTCACGTGCCTCTGCTTTCTCCAGCAATAAATTATACGTTAATTTAACATTACCTGCATCTAGAGTCGCGGACTTTCGGTCTTCGCATACGACCGTAGCGAATTCCTCGAAAGTCGTGTTCACTTGCACCTCGAAATTCTTGTCTTTGAGTATCTCGCGAATGATTTTCTTCTCATCATGGAATCGAGACTTTAAGTCTTCAACATAGAATTTAAAAAGGTCCAGCGGACTTGAGCCTGATTGCCCAAGCATAGCCGAAAATCGAAGATCGGCAGATAACATTGGGTATAATTCTACCCACAGCGACATCGATGTGAGTTTGCCTTGTTCGTGTAGTTCATCGAGTAAATACTGAAATAATTTTTTATTATATAAAAAATCGAAGTATTCTCATCTTATTAGTGTAACATAAAATATTGAAATACATAGGAATGGGAATAACGCGTTACATTTTTCATAGTAATGATTAGATAATGGCGTTACAATTTTTCCCATTCCTGCTCCAAAACATAATTATAACAATTAACAATGAAATTGAAAATACTTTTGACACTCACTATGAAACCATCTCTGTTTTTCCTTTCTTGCCGTTTTCTACGTTTCTTTTCGCATTCTTTTTCTTCTTCTTCATCCTTCTCTAATTGACGGATGTGATTTTCGAATACAATCAAGGCGTCCTCTTTGTCCATCTCCAACAAGTCTGCATCTTCCGCAAATGCAGGATATTGCAGCAACAATGCCTGCGCTTCCTGCCACGTAGTCCTGTACGTCACGTCCGTCATTGTATCCAAAACTTGCGCTAATCTTTTGGTATTTCTCTTCTTCAATTGTTTCGCCTCTTCTTTCTCGCGTTTCGCCAAATTGAAGATAACATCCTCATAGATATCCCGGCGATCCGAATCCCCAACCGCTCTCCAAACCTCTAAATTACCAAACATCTCTTCGCATTTGTAATATTTAGTCGTGCTTACCATTCTATCATTTTCTAATAGGAATTGTTCTAAATCCTCCTTGGCCTTCTTCAATCTGTCAAAAATACGTTGTATTATTATCCAATTAAATTGTATATAAATGACAAAATAAGGAACATTATGTAGTTCCATGTAAGAGTGAGGATATACTTTCTATATTTGTCTAATCGACAGGTCACAGTTCAAATCTCATATATAAACAGAAAAAATTTCGTAATCCGTTCCGACTTAGTAAGAATTACAGAGGAGTTCTTTAGATCTGAATGACTCTTTAACTCACATATAAGGACTGATATAATTCCCCCTCCCTCATTACTGTTAACATAATAATCATATCTACCTGAGTCTTTCTTGCTCGCGCTCTTCCTTCAATTTCTGCGTCTTGTACGAATGGAAGGCTTGCTTACGTTCATTTAATTTCTTCATCTGCGGATATCTAGGATCGTTCTGAATCAGTTTGACTGCCTGTTCCCATGTGGCATTCGATGGAACATCCCTCTCCCTCAGTAATTCTTTGAACGCCTCGATAGCTTCCTTCTTATCCTTGAATTGCATTTTGGGCTCGGGTGTACTGGTGCGGCTATCATTGGCCGAACCCATCGCGGAATTACTATCTTCGTCCGGTTTCGTGGGAGGCGTCGGAATATTAATTGCTGCGAGGGTCGCGGCCATCGCTTGCTCGATAGCCGACTTCCCTCCTGATTCTGGTGTACTGGTTTGCGATATAGTCGGGACATTCGGTGACAAGTGTTGCATTGCTACAGGAGCCATGTTGCTAAAAAGGAAGATCAGAATGAATGTATAAAAAATTTCTGAAATATTAAAAGACAATTTACAATTTCTATATTATTTTTTTACTCACGAATTTGTGGCATTTGCCACGACCGCTGCAGCAGCCGCCGCAGCTTCCTCGGCTATAATTCGCGTCTTCAGCTCTTCCAACTCCGGCGGTATTGTCCATCTGGACTCCTTAGTGTTTACATTGTGATAATACACCTTGCCATTCTCTGACTTATATTCTTTCCAAGGACATTGTGACAACAACAATTCGCTTGGAGTTTTCAGTTCATCCGGCTTTTCCCATAACGACTGCTTCGTCACACTGTTATAGTAATATGTTCTGCCATCAGGTGCTTTGTGCTCACTCCAGTCTGTTTTCTTCTCTGTTGTGGAAGTAGACATTGTTGTATTGGCATCGCTGTTGATAGGCGAAGGAGGAGGAATTCCTGATGCTGTTATTTGTGGTGATGCAGCTATAATATAAAGAGAGCTATTTGAGCAACGGGATTCGTAAACCAACATGGATATTTAGCAATGGATATTAACCTATGACTCCAGCTTCTTGAGGAGGTGCCGTGGTGATAGGAAAAGTAAAACCTGGCGGAGGTATGGAAAACTGAGGTGGCATTATACCCGGAGGACCTGGTGGCAAACTGGGAGGGGGAATAAATGGTGCCGCAGGCATAATAGGTGGCACAAAGCTAGATGCAATATTTGGCGTCGCCGATGGAAATCCTGTTACAGCGGCAGGTGGTGGGATACCATCGTTTGAAGCCTAGTAATGTTTATATTGTCAGTCAGATGGTCAGTAATTTTGAAAAGCGTAACAATGGCTACGTTCAGCAGAGAAAGCAGCTTTGTAGCTGTTGTAAAATACTTCAATATGATTAATTTATACCATTTTATTTTAGCGCCATAAGAAATAAAAAACAAGGATTATATTGAAAAATTTTACATAGCTGCAAAGCTTTCTCTGTTGGGAGTCAACTATGTAACTCTTCCCCTAGGACATAAAAAGTGAAAAATATTATATATGCATGTATATACATATACACACATATGAAAAATATATGTATGTATATATCAAAGATATAAGGCCTGATCTTTCTTCCATATCCCATGCTTAAACTTCTTGCATAGTTTTTTATCTTTTTTCTCCAATGAAAAAAAAAGAGAAGATAAACCATGTAAGAAATTCAGTCTTAGAATATAGAAAAAGAATAAGCTTATAAAGTACGGACTGTGTACCATCAGTATCTAAATAATGTATTGATGTATGTGGTTAACAAAAATGAGAGAAAAAATATGAAGACATAAAACCAATTTCTCTCTTTTTCTAAGATATTGTGATTAGTTGTATGTTGTACAAAAAGATATCTGTTTTTGTATTTTTTCATTTTTGATCAATCTTACACGGATGACGCAGTCAAATAAGCAAAAAGTATTCTGGAACATTTCAACAAGATTGCAACAATATTGATGCAATATTGCTGGAATGTTTTAATACATTCCTTGCTTGCTGGATGTTCTATGTCTTCAATACATACAAAAAATATTAACTCTTCAGTTTCCACTTTAGGCAAAAAGTTACTTGATTGATCTGAACGCAGCCAATGTCTCTTATCAATGCTACGACTGGCTCCTAGTTGTGCTTCTTGTTCCTTCTTTTCCTTTTATCTCGAACAGAATTTATCAAAAAGAAATGAAATGAAAAAAATATTGCTGCGAGCCGGCATACTCTAATATACATAAACATTATTACTATTATTATTATTTAGTATCACACTAATGATTATTGTTATTCGTTGTCGCGTATTACTATATTAAAGGATTATTTAAAGCGGACAAATAAACTTTTGAACGTAATCTCTACAGTGTTCATTTCAAGTCAAGAGGTTGGTTACCAGTTACACTTATAGATTGTAACTCGATCTACATGCCATTTGTTTAGAGATCGCTGAGTAGAATTCCGCAAGATACAATTTATAATCGTTCAATCACAACTCGATCACATTGATAATTAATATATCGTGCGTAAAATTTTAATTCACAATCATTCGTAACTCATAACATGAGTTTGATTGCCGAATGCCGAGCTTGTATTTCATGCTTGTACTATACATTTACGTTCACTTGCGCCCACTATAAATTTTTCAGCGATATATTCTGCGATATATAACGATAAATTCTGTATTATCGACTGAAAGTAAAACAATTGGAGTTAATTTGAATAATCAAAAGATCAGAATTTGTAATATAATTTAAATATCTGATGGGAAAAAAATCAGTCTAACGACAAATAATAAATAATAAATAATAATAGTTATGTATCTTCTCTTTAAAGATTAAAAATAAAATTCAAATTCAAATTTAATAATTATATTTAAGAGGAAATGTTTCATAATAAAACAGAATTAGTTTATGGATATTTATAATTATTATTAATTTATACAATAATAATATAACAATTATTATTTGTTTAATGAATGTTCAATGATTGAAGAATGGTATAAAGGTACTCCTTGTAAAGTATGAGAGTTGGCGTTGTCAATTCGTACGACGACATAATCACCAGCCTGTATCTCCCTTGTCGTAGTAGAGTGTTGAACAATTGGAATAGCTGTAGATGGTAGAATAACTCTTATATTACCATCGTTTCTACCTTGTAATTGTTGATCAGATCTCTTGCTCGTCTGTCAATAGAAAATATATTCACTATAAAATTTATTACTCTTCTAAATATATATGATATGATGTATCACTAAAAAGAAATATTTGCATACTTAAATATATTAACAAAAATTTGATATACTTTTCCGTAAAGCATAAGATTAAAGTGGAAGGATAAAAATTATGATGAAAAGATAAAGAAAAAGGTGCTACACAAAAAGAGGTGTTACTTTTTGTTGTAATATGTATGTAATAAAATTGGCAAAATACTTACTCTCTCCACGAGAACAAGTTGATGCTGCCCTATCTGTGTTTTATTTAATTTTTCTACTTCTTTTCTATATAATGCGATCATACGATTCATACGCTCTATCTTTATATGCATTTCAATGTCATCCTTGTATCGTCTGTGTGCCGTAGTTTTCTGAAGAACATAAAAATATTTATAATATATGTAATTATGAAATAAATTATAAACTTTAATGACAAATCATTTTGATATCAATTATCTAAAATAATTGTATAATATAAAAATTATACCTCACGCATGCTATAGGCATATAAAAATGCGTTATTGTATTTAACTTCTTTTATTAGCGACAACGTGTCTTGAAACTGCTCCTCAGTCTCGCTGCAGAACCCAGCAATAAAATCGCTAGAAATGTACACATCTGGGAGAATATTACGTATATGATACACTAAATCTAAATATGCTTCCCTGGTATATCCTCTTCGCATTCTTTCCAAAATTACAGAGTTACCGCTTTGTGCAGGCAAATGAATCTGTTTACAAATGTTTGGTCTTTCAGCTATCAAGTGTAATACTTCATCAGGAAAATCTTTGGGATGAGGCGATGTGAATCTGTAAATCAATGAGATTACTATATATTAATATGTAAAGACGGCGAAAATTAATGCCGCTTAATAGATTTATACCTTATTCTTATTTCCGGATTAATTAAAGAGACTTTGTCTAGAAGATCGCTAAATCTTAAACCACCTTTCTTATTCTTATAAACCGTTTTGAAACCTTTAGCGAGCTGAGTCTCCGTGTTAAGTGATAAAATAAATTTTGATTTCGATAAGTCTCTGTAGCTGTTTACATTTTGCCCCAGCAGAGTTATTTCCTTTACGCCTTGATCTGATAATTGCTGGACTTCGTCAAGTATACTTGCAATTGGTCGTGATCTTTCTCTTCCTCTTGTAAATGGCACAATACAATAGGTGCACATATTATCACAACCTCTCATTATAGAACTGCAAATTATAGATATAAAATAAAAAGTAAAAGTTTATATACTTTTTAAAAATATGGAATATTTTAAAATATGTTACACATATGCCCCAGTGGAATCTTGATTGAGTCTAACTGGCATGACATCTGCATATGTTTCATCAAATGATAATAAAACATTAATAGCTGTTTCATCATCTGTTACTGCCAGAAGCCTTGGCAAATCCTTGTAACTATCAGGACCCGCTATTACATCTACCAGCTTTCCTCTATCTAATATTTTAGTCTTTAGACGTTCCGCCATGCATCCTAATGCAAATATTTATTCTTATATAAATCAAGAACTTAAATGTGAATTTCTTGATATTACCAAGTATTAATTAAGCTTGCCTAAAAGACCAATCTTCATAGGCAATCTAGAGATCCTCTTTCTCTTGTTTCTCACTCCGTTTAAATTCTCCAACTTATGCCATACCTTCTGCTCGGCATTGTCTCTGATAGAACAGGTAACTAATAATACAATATCTGCATCATCCAGACATTCCGTATGTTTATATCCATATGATTTCAATATCGACCATACTATATCAGCATCATTGACGTTCATTTGGCAACCGAAAATTTCAAAGTACACTAGCACGAACAAAGAAAATAAAAATGAAGCACAAAGTCAAATGATGAATATAAAACATAATTAGATGTTTGAGAAACCTTTTTGATTCTTGCCATGGATATTCTGCACATATGGAACAGGTTTTTCACTGGAAATATCAACAACAGATGAGCTCAAGAAATCCTTCAAGGAAGGTCCATTTCTGATATTCCTCATTGGTTTTTTATCTACAGTAGCTCGTTCAGTTGTATCTGCATTAATTGCTGATGCATGCGAAGACATAGGGATTGTTCCATGAATCTCACGACATGCTCGTGTCCGATGAGAATCTGTATATTTTCGTCGTATCAAATATTGTCTGAGGCAGTTCCTGTAGCATATTCCTCTCGACATATTGAAACTAAACCAAACGCCTAAAATAAAAATTTGGAGATGTTATGTGTTGAAAGTTGAAACATATGAGAGAGAACTACTGCATTATGAAATGAATCTTGATGAATATCTAAGCGTTAATATCCAGTTTAGATGATTCTTCTTCTTTGTCAGTATCTCCTGATTGACTTTCTGACTTCTCTGATGATGATCAAAGTGCCAGACTGTTAAATAGATCCGTAAATCAAGCAGAGTCGTTTAGTTAGTTCAATTTTTGCACCTAACGAGAGATGATTTTATAGGTTATGAAAGCCGGTGCGTATATATCACATAAGTGATAATAAAGACGTCTATATAAATTATAATGTAGAATATTCATATAATGTAAAAAACATGTGATTATAGGTCTAATCTTTGTAGATGTATTGTTATATTTCTTAAAATAAAATAAATAAATATATAATTATAAGTGGAGTAGAAAGAAAAAAATATGTATAAAAAAACTCAACTACAAATAAACTTAAGATCTGTTCTTTCTACACTTAAAACAATTAGAGAAAAAAGGAGCAAAGACGAAAACCTCTCAACGAAATCTTTCAAGAAACTCAGCTACGAAAACATGAGTCTTTATATACTCTGGTCAATGAAATTGTTTCGGGAAAAAAAGATATACAACGGAGGGATTCTGTCAATTTATTTATTTGCTTTTTTTCGAGATTTACTTATCGTTTTACCTAAAATATAAACGTAAAAACGGGACAGTCCTTTCAATATGAATCTCATCTATAATAATTATGACTAATACACGCTTTATATACAATTTCATATATACAATAATGCAAGTGTGCCGTCATCATCACTATTAGGTAGTGTGAAAAAACAGTGATTGCAACATTTATTAACGCATGAATAACACATTAAATAAGATGTATAATACAGATTCTATTTTCATTCCGTGCCGGAATTAGAAAAAAATTATATAAAAAAATGGGTGCTTTTCATTTGATGACACAAGTCGACACAAGCGTCATCCTATCCTTATTGATATTTCGAGAGTGACAAAGATAGAACAACGCTTGTGTCGACTTGTGTCATTAAATGGAAAGCAACCAATATGATTTAAAAGAGTATATTCTTTTCTATTTCTTTTTTAATTACATTGTTTTCACAAATTTTAATGAGAGAACATATTTAGCTTGAATTT